TGAGAAAACGAGCGCAGCTGATTTCGCTCCCTTGGCGACGTGGCAAAGGGATCTCATTACAATATTACCGCCCCTTAATCTGTAAGTTTACACCCACAGCACCGTCATTGTATTTTCACAAGCGACAACGGTGTACTAGTTCTAATGCCATGGCGAAAGTTTTAATCAAAACATGCTAACGGTTTTATCATTGGCTATCTATTTAGAGTCCCAGCATCAGAAGAGACAAGAAAGTAGGGCTGTCAAAATGACTGAAAAACTAAATTCGAATTTTCCACTTAAATATTATCAAAATTCGAATTATATTCAAATTTAAAAGGCATAATTTCAGTTAGGGGGAAAAAAAGCTTTTGGCTTCTCTCCTGAGGCCACAAGAGGGTGCATCGAGCAAAATATTATGCACGTTTCTTCAAAGCGTAATAAAATAACACGACTATCTTTGGACTCTTGTTTTCCGCTATATATTGAATGAACAACGTAGCAGCGCTGCATCTAGTGGGTTGAACTGGATAGGCTAAAAAAAGCATTAAAATGCAATGACACTTACATTGTCGTCGCATTTCGTGCGCCACTGATAAGGCTGCCTCGTTCTGTGTGAACGGCTTGGTTTCAGTTTCGCTGTAAACAAAATATTCACCACACTGATGCTCTTGTTTTCCGCTATATATTGAATGAACAACGTAGCAGCGCTGCATCTAGTGGGTTGAACTGGATAGGCTAAAAAAAGCATTAAAATGCAATGACACTTACATTGTCGTCGCATTTCGTGTGCCACTGATAAGGCTGCCTGATGGCTGACGCAGACCTAAAATTCGAATGCAACGTTTTTGCATTCGAATGTAGATTTTTTTTTTTAATTCACGAATATTTGAAATTCGAATTTTTTTTTGACAGCCCTACAAGAGAGTAGTGGATTTATTGATTTATTTAATGTATATTGCTGCTGCCACACAGATCTAAAATAAACATGTGATTTATTTCCCAGCTGTTTACTTTCACAGACATAACCGACTGTTTTTGTAACTCATGTGCGTTTTTAACGTAAACTTGTGTGTGAATGAGAACTTAGTTTAGTACTCACATGCTGTGACAGCCGCTTTCTGTCCGTGTGCTTCGGACGTGTGCACTCAGAAAACCATATATCATAAGTTTAAACTAATATTTTTTTAGCAGGTACGAGCTGTAATTGCGCAGCTCTATTCTGGAAAAGGGGGCAGGGAGCAGCAGCTCATTTGCATTTAAAGAGACAGGCCCGAAAAACGAATGAGAGCTTAGTTTAGTACTCACATGCTGTGACAGCCACTTTCTGTCCGTGTGTTTCGGATGTGTGATCTCAGAAAATCATATATCAAAAGTTTAAAGGCAGAGTAAGGGATTTCTGGTAGCCAATGTTTATATTTCTTTTAAGACTAACATATTGATACTAACACCCAAAAAACTTTAATTTTGATTTCATGGGGACTTTAAATACTTCTTGAGTTCCAGGCACGCAAACTTCAGAAAAATAATATTTATGGCAGGTATGTTCAATGCAGTTGTTTTGACAGAAGGAAACAAGACACATTTCTAGTTATTCTAATTATTTGTTCTTCAGACATTCCTCTTTAAAAGAAAATAAGTATCATATTTATGCAAAGTGACCCACATTTGGTTTTTGACCATTGAAAATGTGTACAATTCAACAGTTTACTTCTGGAGCCATATTGAATTTCCAATATCTCTGGAACGGAACCATACAGGGCCTTAAAAATGAAGATGCCAAAGGGAAAGTTTGTTGAGACCCAATATCTAAAAGGGCATTAAGACATCTTTAATACGTCTTGAGTTACAGGCAAGCAAACTTTGGGGGGGAAAAAATTTGAAAAATGCTTTTTCCCCATTTTCGAATGGTCACCATTGGCATATAATGCAACAAAGACTGCTAAAGCCATCAGATTTCACTAACAGAGCTACCAATCTCTGTAAAAATTACATAACGATGCTGCCACCTTTTTTCAGTTTTACCCCACTGCAATTTGTCTCTGAATCTCAGATTAAAATTGTCATTTTGACCCCTCTCTATAAAACTAAAAATTTTATAGTAAATGTAGATCAATGGTTTAATATTTTGGCTTTCATCACTATATATATGTTTATCTTTTATTGAGAACAATATTGACAAAATAAACAATTTGAGCCGGGAATTGAGCCGGGAATTGCTTGCAGAGGCTCAGTCTTACCTGAGTTCACACTTTATCTGAACCCAGCCAGGACTGCGCAGGAAGGACCAGGGATGGTACCATTTCTCCACGGCATTCATACTGGAACACAACACCTCCAGCCACAGGTGCAGCACCTGCTCACTAACACAACACACGCAGATTATGCACGCACGCTTGCATTATGGGAAAAGAAAACAAAACAAAGATGGTGTGACCGCAGGTTTGACTTACTTTAAGCCCACACAGATGAGTGAGCGAAACTTGATGTCCATCTGAACGTGTGCAGTGTCGTGGCTCATGTTGACAGACTGCACTGCCTAAGATGACAGACAGAGAGCGCTCGGTGAACAAACGTAAAACCAGTGCTCAACCACCCTAATCGCTGATAAAACATTTTCAGGTTTCCTCATTTTGTTAAACTCACCCTGTAAAGAAGCTCTTCAGGCGTGAGCACCTTCCCATCTTCATCTAACCTAAAGAGATGAAGCGGCTATCATATCAGCAAAGCACCATTATGAAAATTAGAGAAGGTGAGATCTTATGTAACTACACGTCTCACCTGTAGGTCTTGCAGAGCACCAGTCTGGAGTAGACCGAGTTGAAGTCTCTCTCCACTTCTCTGCTGGCTGCCTGGGATCAACACACACACACACGCAAACACAACTCTTTCACTCACTTGACATATATGTATCTAAATGTATATAACTTTCTATAGGAAACACAACCTGCTCCTACCTCCTCGATGAAGAGCCAAGGGTGACAGGGTCCTCCCAGTATGGAGGGCTTCTTCAGGCCGTGCTGAAAGATGGCCTTAAGAGCAGGACACAAAGTGCCTCTGACCAAGTCATTCACTGCCTCAGTTACAGTATCATCTCCAGCCAGAGAGTACTGAACGACAAGAACGTGTGCATGAGACAGTTAAGTCGTTTATCCCCTATTAACAGGAATTCAGACACATTCCAAAAGCAAAGCTATTACCTCTTTACTTCGTTCATCCAAGACTTCCACAAATTTGGCAGGAAACCAGCCTAATGGGACAAAAGGTTTGTGGGAAATACTGGTTGGTGTAATGAGTTGTATGTAGGTTATAAGTGCAGTTGGAACCATTTCTGAAAATCAAAGAAATGTTCAATGCTTGTTGTAAGCACATCTCAGCTCACCTCTCAGGCCGTTCAGCTCTCCAACCCAGCAGTGCTCATCTTTCTGTGAGATGATCTGAGAATAAACACAGAGATACAGTCAAGGAACAAAGGCAAGGCATCAGTTAACATGTTTAGATGACAGAAACAGCAGGTGCTCACTGTGATGATGTCATTCTTCCGAAAGCCCAGTTCATCATCGTCATGCCGCTCAAAGTCCAGCAAGGCTTTGGCTCGTCTCCGACGATTCCGAGACACAACCAGGAAGTTCTCGTGATCCCTTTGATGACTCTCCATAGAATAGTCTGGAGTCAAATCCTAGAGAGAGAGAGCGAGAGGGAGACAAGAAATGTATAAACAAATGTTAACAAAAATATAAAAATGTAATGGGCTGAAATAAAAATATTGCTACTACTACTTATTATTATTATTAAATTAATTACAACACATTTTTGTAATTATTATTATTAATAAACATTTACTATAATTATTATTGTTTTATTATTATTATTAGAATACACAATCATAATACGAATAATTTATAAAATACTATTTATTAATAAATAATAATAATAATGGCAAAATAAGCTACACAGATATTTGGTGGTAATAATAATAATAATCAACAACAACAACAACCATATTAATGATTAGTATTATTCCAATACTGAAAATATTGTAATATTTATTCAAATATTGCAATAATTACAATTATTATCAATATTATTATTAAACAAACAAACAACAATACTGATTACTACTACTATTATTATTATTAATGGAAAAAAGTAAGCTGGACAAGAGTTTTATTTTCCAACTTAATTTTAATATGGAAACTACAGAGAGAAATTCAGCATTATCAAATGAGATGTCTGGTTTGACATCTGACTACTTAATGGTTATAATTGATTAATAACTCGAGACTCTCCATGACTCATGGTGGTCTGTTTACTGGGAATGCCAGTGTGCAGCTAATTTCTTGATGCATAGGCCTAATTTATACAAACAAAACAACTAAGTGAGTCATCAGGTACATGAGTCAGTGTTGCGGTTTCAGTGCAAATGTTCTGTTTCTAATTGAATTATTCCTGACAGATTCTAAAATGTGATTCATGTGATCGAGTGGCTCTTACAGTGCTGCAGTTGCGGGGATCCAGGCAGTGAAAGTGCTCTGCAGTCTGACTGATGGCTTCTCTCAGTGCTGCCACCAGCTCCGTCTGTTTAATGTTTTTGGCCTTCAGCGCCTCCACCTCGTCCTCCCCCCAGAGAAGCGAGCTCAGGGTGGATTTCCTACGCAAGCCCTGTCTGCGGACCACCTGAACAATGACACACACCTACGAGTGAGCCTGTGTTCACATTTTGTATATTGCAAATAAAGTGTGTCAAAATGTGGCCATCACAGATGATGATCCAAGATGCTGTTCATGTTCTCAACCTTGTTGAGGTTGGTGTGGAGGGAATGGGAGTTGCCAGAGTTGAGCTGGGCCTGCTCTGCAAGGATGTAGGCAAGATGCTTGTGTCTGTGTGCATCCAGGCTTTCCTGAGACAGAGATCCTGCCAGACGCACAGCCTCGCCCAGCACTGCCGCCCCGTCCTCTAATTGACTGGGCAGATCTGAGAGTGTGTTAAAGATGGATGCCGAGTTCTCAGATGACACCAGTTCTTCCTCCTTTACAACACAAAAAGAAACCATTATTATTGACGGTGTGTCAAATCAAACACTCATCGCTGCCTTGTTTAACCATCGAAGGCTTAGCTAACAGAAAGATAGAAGTCTTTGAATAAAGTTAAACAACCTTGATCTTCAGCATGCCCAGCGTAACCTGGAAGAGCACCACTGAGCCCTCGTAGAAGAGCAGGTCCCAGATTCGCAGCAGGATGCGGATGTCCACCACACTGGCAAAGGCAGTGAGGAACCAGTGCAGCGTGATTAAAGAAAGCTCTGAGAGGGAAAACATTTGAATGCTTTTTTACTGAACATATTTTGGAGGAATAAATCTTTGGAGCAAAACCGATTTTAAAAAGTATCCTGCGTTAAATATTTTTGAGGCTGTTCGTGTCTCACCAATGTCATGCTCCTGTAGCAGCTGGTCTAGACTCGGCAGATACTGCACTATGAGCTGTCTGAGCACGCGCTGGTCAGTCTGAACTCCCAACAGCGTGGAGGAGAAGTATGAGGGAGGCAGCAGGTCCTCTATCAGAGCACACATCATCCACAGAGCATCCTCCTCCTCCAGAAACAGCAGCAGACAGGACACCACCTGTATCAAAGACAAACACACACACCTCAGAGTCTGACACCCGATGAGCCAAATGGTAGGCAACAGAGAGCCAGAGTCTGTGATTAGGTCGCTTCCCACCATGCCTGTGCCCTGACAGTAGCCGATGTCTGGATACAGCCACGCCAGCCCTCTCAGGACCCGCCTGAGCTTGGGCACCCCCACACTCAACAAGGTGCTGAAGCACGCATTAGTGGGCATGGTCCGCAAAAGATCCTTTTCTATCTGCAGCACAGACAGAGAGACAAGCATAATAAAAACAATACTGGAACACAGCTATGTAAAGTCTGAGGTGTATGCATGAAAGAATTTGAGCTTTCAATTGAAAAGAAAAACTTCTAATGAAGTAATCAAAAATCACAAATAAAATGCTTATCAATGCACCTGCAACAATCCCCAAATGAAAAAAAAAAAAAAAAAAAAACTATTGAAGCAGATGTGACAAATTTAAAGTAGCTCGGTTTTTAAAAGCATACCTTGAGTTGCCTTTTTATGTGTTTATTTATTTTAAGATACTCTAATAGCCATTAATTTAAAATGTTAATTTAAAAAGTTGTACGTATGTTTGTAACCCTAAATGTAAACCTACTGATATATATATATTTAAATGAAACATTTTCATTATTCATCAAACTGAAAAAAAAAGAACATTTTTAATAAGCTTTTATTTATACATTTATTTTGGCATTTTTGTCTTTATTAAGATAAAGGAAGTGAAGTGGGAGAGAGAGGGACAGGATCTGGAAAGGTCCACAAACCAGGACTCAAGCTATTTTTTTGCAGGATTCTCAGAAAGCTCAACAGAACAGCATTTATTTGAAATTTAAGTCTCCATTTCAAATAAATCTCTGACTACATCATATCTGTGGCAGAGATGACACGTACCTGTTTGGCTGCTGTGGTGTCATCATTAGAACTGTTTTTGACGATTTCCCTGTAGGAAATTTCGGATGTTCTCTTTTTCTGCAGGGCCCCTGACAAACGCATCCATAACTGAGGGAATGTATATGAAAGAGACAATGAGGAACATGAAAGATAAACACACAAAGATCCAGCAGAGATGCAGTTGGAAGATCTTGGAAGAAACGCACCGCTGTTCTCGTGGGAATCTCTGAAAATAGCAATACAGCATAAACAAGATATTACCAAGACATCATGTCCTATTTCAGTGACACTAAGAATCCCTCAAGCATTAACATGGTTGCCATGGGAACATTACATCAGCAGATTAGTCGCCTGATGGTGTGTAACAATACAAAGACAGCCTTAAATATGTGGTGAGGTAAAAACACAAACAAAAGCACATTTAGAGGGTTGATAAACAGGTTCTCAGTGCTAACCTGTGGTCTCATGCTGTGTGGTATGCACCCCAGCACAAGGGTCCGAAGGCGGTCAGAGGGAGCCAGGGTGGGGGAGATCTTATCCCATGTCAGGTCTCCTACAGTGTGATTGTGCGTGAACTCCAGATGGGCTTGCCAGCGAAGTCTTTGCTGAGGGTCCTCTCTCTGAGGAGCTCCCTCACCACGCTGCCATTTACTTGTCTCAACCCCGTCTGAAACAGAAAAAACTCTTAACTCCTGACAAATATGGGACCTGCTTTTAAAAGGGCTTGACATTAAGCATTCCAGGAGGATACCCCTCTTTTTAAACCTTATCACCTCTGTTGTCAAAAGTCACCTGTGACAAACAAAATATCTATAACAAAGCTTCAACATAATAAACTCTACCATTTGAGTTTGGGATCAGTAAGAATTTTTGGTCATACTTTATTTTAGTCCGAATTCTCGCTATTAATAAACCATTAACTACGACTTTCGCCTCAACAAACTCCTAATTTGCTGCTTATTAATAGTTAGCAAGGTAGTTAAGTTTAGGTATTAGGATGTAGAATATGGTCATGTAGAATATGTGCTTTATAATTACTAATAAACAGCCAATATGTTAATAATAAGCATGCTAATAAGCAACTAGTTAACAGAGAGAATTGGTCCCTATACTAAAGTGTTACAGAATGTTTTAATGTTTCTGAAAGAAATTTATTTTTCTCACCAAGGCTGCATTTATTTAATCAAAAATACAGCAAAAACAGTAATATTGTGAAATACTATTATTATTTAAAATAATTAAAGTTCAGCCTAGTGCATAAATTCATTACAATGTAAAGATAGATTTAGTTCTTTAGTTGTTTTTTTTCTGTGGTTGTTCTAGATATGTGTTAAGGTTGAGCCCTGTTCAATTTTTTATGAGTGCTGATATTCCCACACTAACCTTCACTATCAATCCGGAACCCAAATTCATCATACTGCAGTTCTGCTTCCATATTGGGGTCTTTCTGCAACAGTCAGAACAACATCTCTGAGAAATGAACCACTTCCCATAACAATGATGATGTTACAATAACAGAATAACATTTATCTGCCACTTAGAGCATTATACACAAGCAACAAAAAAGAAAAAGATATAGGAGTAAACTACCTGACAGTACTTTGCCAAAATGTCCTGGGGCCACATGCTGGGTGTGAGGGCCGAAAAAGGGCCCCCTGGGGCTGGAGTGTAATTACCTGCTAAAGAGAACAGAAAACCATGTGAGGGGATTAACTGACAATAAACAAATACAACTATGCTTCCATTTTTATTTCATGTATTCATGCAGCAGTAAGCTTACTTGACATGGTCCTGGAGTTTGAAGAGTGCTTCTTTAGCGTCTAAAGAGAGGATTCCGGCTGGAGCAGGTCAGGTCAAGGTTCACAGGCCCTAGATAAGGAGACCAAAACAATACAAAGCCATTCAAAGTGCGTAATTACTCAAGTGATCATTGCAATTCACAGCCTCTGGAAATAATCACCTCAAAATAGGCGTTTAAAAGACTGAACTAGGCAGAATATCATATAACGTCACTTTAGTGCAATTAAAAAAAGAAAAAAAAAAAAGAAGTCTGCTATGAGGAAGTCAAGAGTCCGAAAGCTTTTTAAAGCTGAACTTGAGCTGCAGGCACCTTAATACTGTCCTCCTTCATGCTCCAGTTCTCCAAATCAACGCAGACACACAGGATGGCAAGCTAAATCTTCAGCAGCACAGCATGTTCGGATAAATTAATCATGCCAGTGGGCCCATCGACGACACACTACCTTACACGACTTCTCTCTCCATGACACTGACATCATCTGCGCTTACAGCCCAGCATAAGGCAGCCTTTGTTTCTCCACTAAACTCATGACAAACCCATTAGGGGTGCGTGAGAGAGGGGGATAAGTGATTATAAACCCACCCACATCAGAAGGAAGGATTGCAAAACTGATACCAGGATTCGCACCCATAAGCTCTTCTACAGATCTTTTGGTCTCTGCTCCAGTGTTTCAAGAAACTCAACAGTTTATGACTGCTGAACCAACCAGAGGCTTTTTAGAGGGTATGCTAATGCACCATTCAATTTCCTCATTTGTTTAAAATAAATCACTTCCTTGTTGGATATAAGCCAACGTCTCTTTGAGAATGGGGTGTAGGACTGCTCTATAAATGCACCAGAGCTTATCTTCCTGCTCTGCCTATGTGTGTGTGTTCAACATCACGTAAGAAAGAGAGCAATGGAAAAACGTAGATGCTATCTGGACATGTATAATGCAAGCTGCATTTCAACGGTTTCACTGCCAGGTATTGTTACTTGGCATAAAGGACAATAACTGAGCCTTATAATCACAGTAAAGTAAAAAGAGCTGGACACCAACATCCTGTGGTTGTGGTATTGATTTATGTGGGCCTGGATGAATGGTGCAAAATCTAGCCTTTAACAGAGCTCAACAATAAGAAAGACCTGCCATCAAAAATGTAACATACATTGATCTTGTGCATTCATTTGTATGCCCTGCAAACCTAAACACTTGGTTTTCTGTGATTCTGGGTGGTTCTCAACCTTTTTTGACTAAGGCCCCCTACTGCTTACAACAATATTCAAAGGCCCCATTTCATTTCCAGTTCGTTTAAGATGTAATTTAGAATTAAGCATAAGGATTTTTACAAGTAGGCCTATTTTTTTACTCACAATTTCTACTCAATAAAATATTTTTGCGCTTGGAATATCTAGAAAAATTTATATTCCTTATACAAATGGCCATGGAGTTATAACTGTAGTAAAATACTTGACTTTCCAGGGTCTATAAATCAAAATTATAGAATTTTATATACCGTGATATGATATAATTGAATACATCTTAGTTGTAAAACTGTGGGAATCCAGGTTTTTCAAAAAAAAAAAAAAAAGTTGAGGAGGTGATATAAAATAAGAAAATGGTAACTTGATTTTTAGTTGTTTTGGCTTATTTTAAATAATTTAAAAAAAATTTGCTTTTCCCCTGGTTGACAAGATAATGTTATCTAACTGGCTAACATACATAATTTGTCAAAATATGACAAAATGACTTGTGACAATCTTGAAATAATCAGTATGTAAAATCATCAGTAAAGTTTGCATCGTAAATAATTTTATTTTTATATTTTGCAAAGAAAATGGCATTCAAATAAAAACGTCTATAATTTTAGTTAAAGGGGTCCTATTATGCTTTTTCACTTTTTCAACTTTAGTTAGTCTGTAATGTTGCTGTATGAGCATAAGAAAGATCTGCAAAGTTACAAAGCTCAAAGTCCACTGCAAAAGGAGATATTTTATTTAACAGAAATCACTTTTAAAAAACTACAACGAACGACTCGTTTGGACTACAACGCACATTTTCCGGGATTTGTGATATCACAAAGATCGACGAATGGGACGAGACCTGGTTGAGCTGCACTAGAGAAGGCAACGAGTGTTATCACTATGTCGGAGACATGCTAGCTTTCCCAAGGCAGACGAACTTAGAGTGGTTACAATCATCCGGGTTTAAATCGCGCTCAAATTGATTTGATTTTGACGCAATATTTACACTGAAGCTCGCAGGCGGCTATGGTAAGGGGCATGACATTTCCCGACCAGGCACCGAGTGCTGCCAATCACAACACACACTGGCCCACTGGCCCAGCTAACCAATCACAGCACACACTGACCCAGCTAACCAATCACAGCACATTTCGTATATCAGAAGGCGGGCCTTCATTTGATACAGGAACTATTCGAGCCGTTCATGCCAGACTGGGGAGAGAGGTGTTGTAATAATGTAAAATACGTGAATCAATGTTTTTCGAACTAAACTGTTCTGGAACAGTGTTGTAAATACAACTTAACCACTGATTTCTAGCCGTGTCCTCTTTTGGAATGCCAAACAAAGTAGTTTCGCTTTCACAACAAAACACACAGCGTCTTCACGACATGGAGGCCAATACAACAATATTACAGCGAGAATAAAAGTTACGCCTTTTTTCTTTGATTGAACATTTGGGCGGCATTATGCAAATCTTCCCACATCGTGACGTAGACATGTGGGGGTGTGTTAGAACGAGCCGTTTTAGGTAGGCGTGGTTGACTCTGAACTTTTATAAAGAATATCTCTTTGGATTTGAGACTTTAGTCTTTGCAACTTTACAGATCATCTTTATGCATGACCAGCTTGTAACACTTCAAAGAGAAAGGAAAAATTGAAATCGCAATCGCATCATATGACCCCTTTAATGAAAAGTCTGTAATATAGTTTGGTTAAAATTTCTCAATGGTAGTGTAAAAAACACCTTTTTTACCCTGTCAAAAACAGCTCTTTTCA